CCCGACCCCTGCACCCTGACTGCACCCCACCATGCGCCCCCCCCCCCCTCCACGGGCGCGCGCTTGTACGAAGGTTTCCCCTTTAGCCGCCCGAGGCGAACGCAACAAACGCGCATTTCTGTCGTGATCTGCAATCTCTCTCTCGCTCCGAGAGAGATAGCGGGAGCGAGAGAGGAACAGGCGGGCTGCTCTTGAGAGAGAGAGAAAGCAGGGAAGAGAATGAAGAGGTAGAGAGAGGAAGAGAAATAAAAAGAAGAGAGTGGGGCGCAGAGGGCGCCATAACATAGTCGCGGTGTGTGGGCAGACGTGTTGGTCCTTTCTCCCTTTCTCCCCCTCTCTCTGTCCGCTCTCCCTCTCCCGCTCTTCACTCCCCCACTTTGTGCCGTTGTGCCCTTGGTAGCAGAGCCACCCCATACCCCACACACTCTTACCCCGGTCAGCGCATGCACTGCCCGAGGCCGAGGACGCCGTCAGTGCGGCCTGCCATAGGACACGGCCGTTGGTGGCACCCCACTCACCAAGGCCCTGGCCGAGGACGCCGTCAGTGCGCCCGCCAGAGAGCACAGCCAACGGTGGCACCGCGCCAAGGCCTTGCCCGAGGACGCCGTCAGGGCGCACCACCAGAGAACACGCCATCGGTGGCACGCGCACAGCCCTGCCCGAGGACGCCGTCAGTGCTCCCGCCAGAGAACATGGCCACCGGTGGCACCTCACCAAGGCCCTGGCCGAGGACGCCGTCAGTGCGCTCGCCAGAGAACACGGCCACCGGTTGCACCGCACCAAGGCCCTGGCCCTGACCGAGGACGCCGTCAGTGCGCCCGCCAGAGAACATGGCCACCGGTGGTACCTCCACGATAGTATGGTACCTCACTACGGTCCTGCCCGCTCCGCTCCACCCGCCGCCGGACGCACCTGCGCTGTCCTGGCTCACAGTTTTAAGTACTCAGCCGCCGATGAGTGCCCTTGCATTTTTAATCGTTGCGTCAACATTGTTTTTTTGTTGCTCTTTATTTCTTTTGCTCCACGCCGCGCGCTCATGGCGGTGTCTGGCTTTTGGGTCGAGAGAGAAAGGTGAGGGTGGCAACTGGCGGGCGGGGACCGCAAAGAGGTGGGGGGGG